CAGGAATGCTGCCAACCAAGGGAGGGAAAAAAAGGTAACCTGTGGATGATTGACTACAGCCAGAACATGTAGTGTTATTGCATTTACTTCATTTGTCACTTAATATAGTTATTGTTGAATGTGAAATTCTTTAGTGTTTAATTGAAGTGTTTTGCAACATGCTAGTGCTAAACACTTTGAACATGGTGTAGTCATCCAAGTACATTTGTATGGAATGTTGTCTTTATTTCATCTTGTGTTTCAGGACAAAAGAAGAGGTTAAACCAAGTTGTTCCACTCCTGATGATGGGATCCTGGGAGCACATGTCGTTGACAGAAGTAGTGTTGAGTATGTGATCCTGCCATCTTTACCTGAAGTGTTAAAGCTAACAGTTACTGTTTTAAATGTGTATCTATGGACTTTGTGATGGAATGCATGTTTTGCTATTAAAGTGTAAAAAGTTGTTGTTGTTCTGTTCATTGTGAAAGTGTTGTGGTTGGTTTTTAACTTACTGCTTACTTTTTACTTAGTTTTAACTTTTTGCTCAATTTCTGGAAATAAATGCAGCACCAACACCATATTCCAACAATTTTCTTTATTCTGGAAAATTTACAACAATGAAAGGACAATGAGAAAAAGAAACAATAAGGAAAAAAAGTTTTAACCTATAAAAGTGCAATAGAAAAAAAATACTAAGTGTAAGAAAATATAAAAACAATTCTCTAAAAGTGACTGAGCAATAAGTATCTAACACTGAAAGTACAAAGGCAAAAAAAACAAAAACTAAGTGTTGCAAAAAAGTGAGTTTTAAGGATCTACCATTGAAAGTGCAAGGGCCAAAAAGTGACCCTGTTGCTAAAAAGGTTTCAGTAAAATACTCACAAGTCCAGCAAAGAAGTGATCTGCTTCAAATAAAGTGGCTCCTTCACAAGTCGTCTCCATCTGTTAAGACAATGACAATAGCATACAATTAATGACAACAATAAGCTGGAATAACAACATCATTTAATCCAAATATAGTTACATTGAGGGCAACTGGGCAAAGTAGGTGTGTTTACCTCTCATCCAAGAGACTTCATCAGTTCTGCTGAACTGAAGAAACCTTGGATGAGAGGTGAAACATCTTCAAAAAAACACCTACTTTGTCCAGTTGCCCTCGATGTAACTATTTTTGGAACAATCAAAAGTTGTGGTGGTCTCATTTACCTCTTGCTGTCAGGGTGGAAAGCCACACGGTTGATGGGACCAGAATGACCTTTGACTCCTGCCAAACACCTCCATCTTCTCCTCCACTGCTCCAACTGTAAATGACAACAGCAGAGGAAGCACAATGAATGGAATGACAAGAACGAGCTGGAATAACACAAAC